TCACTTATGAGGTCATGATTTTTAGATACTTGATGATACACTACTAAAAAATCGTTCCATATTTATATATCTAATCATTACCAGTCTCGAATTACAGAGTTTAGTTAATGATGTAAATTGAGATATTGTTGGTCCATAATTTGTAATTAATAACTTTGAACAATGATTGTTTAATGAACTTTTATGCCAACTTTCAAAATTGAACAAATCGTATTCACTTTTTTTTAGTATTTAGGGCAGGCAAAAACCTGCTCGAAGAACGACTCCAAATCAATACTATCCCTTAATTGCAACACACATACAGTTTGCCTGTTTTGGTATAAAGGCCTGAATAGCCACTAGAGCTATGTTTAAAATCGATTGTAATGACAATGTTAAAGTTGTCCCTTTTCTGTACATATGTATATTTTTTGTGAGACATTTCTACATCACATAAGTCTTACGTCTATCTGCTAGTACTAGTTTTACCATTATCATTTTTATTTCACATAGTGAACATATCTTTAGATCGGTCAATATCAGTAGGAATTAGTTCATTGTGTGTTTTAATTGGGTTAAACATGGCAACAAATAGATTTAAAAAACAGACTAAACGATATACAAAAACCATTAGTGACTAAAATGTCCATTTCTTGGTTCTACCATTATAATGTTCCATCGTTGTTAAAATTGAAGACATTTCCAGTAAATATAAAAATAATTGAAAAAAAAATTGAAACTTATTTTGTGCTGCATTTCTCATGCTGGTAAGTATATTTTCACCTAATCGTATTTCCTTTTGCTTGTAAAAGCCTCATAAATACATTGTATTAATTTTATTTATTCAAAGTAGTCAATGTTGTAGTTTTCCTTATAGTTATTCTTAAGGTGTATATTAAAGACTGAAATTAAAAACACGTATAAATGTATTTTTATGCATTATGATTTTCATACTTTATTTAATCTAAGTCTCCCTGTGAGTAGCAGGATTCAAAAACACCATTTTTACAACATTATTATTGTTAATTTTTAAATAAATGTCTTTATTTTACTAGCAAGGACATCTTCTCTTATAGACTGTAGATTCATTTGTTATTTTAGATTCAAAAAAGAGCCACACATCTTGACCACCACATTGAAACATACAAAGACATTGACTCAAATGAAAATTGTTCTATTGCAATAAAATCGATTCAGGCCAATTGTACTGATATGGAAAGGCCTATATGTGTGAGAAACAGAACATTTAAGAACTTGGTTGCTGTGTGTGCCCCCAACATTCCAATGCCCGGATCTCCCGGTAAGGCTAAGATGATCATAAATTGAAAGTAAATTAGACCTTTCAAAATGATCATTAGTTTTCAAATATCTGACAATCTGTCTTGTACGATTGCTTTACATACGAGGGGTTATCCGTAAAAAATCGTGGACAAAGAAAATTTCTTCAAAATCTTTAGTATACAAGTAATGTGGTTGTTTTCTATTTGCGAAATCTTTTTGATCTAGTCCTAGTGTGGAACAAAACATTTGGGGAAAAAAAACCAATGGTAATAGCAAAAGACTCTGTCACTGTTAACCGTTGATGTAAGATTGCTTATTTAGTTGAAGAATAGTAAGCATGTTGGCCATGAGTCTACAGAAGGTCCCATGTGTTAAAGATAATTTCCTCCACTTTTTATGGGGTCTAAGATCTAGAGAAATTAAAGTATGTGCATTAATGAAATTCCTTTATTTTTGTGGGACTTTTTAGCAAAGACGTGACGCTGCTTTAGACACTTTGACTTTATCTTCCGTGTGCCCTAAGGCGATACAACACGTAACATAAATTCTCACAATTTGTTTATTTATGCAAATATTTTTTTGAAATTTGCTATGTATATTATGAAAAATTTACTAAAGAGTAGTGAAAATATTAAAACACATTGATAATTATTTTTACTCTAGACAACTTGTCCACGATTTTACCGGACAACCCTTGTATATTAAGCTGCCAACGAAGCATGCAAATGTATGCCTCAATGGCCTAAATGAATGACTATAACAGCCCATGGGCCTTTAGCTGACATCAGATAATAGGAGAAAGGAGAATTGTGAGGTGTAATTCACTCAAAACTTCGTTTGAATTTTTCCCTTTCATACATGTAAAGAGCATCAAGGCTAGCTTAAAAAATAATTTTAGTATCTTTTTGGATTCTATTAAAGTACACAAACCCTCAGTTTCTGAAAATTCGGCATTAACGAAATGAGATGAAAATTCTCGCAAAAATATCTCTGAATTTTCAAAGTAATGTTTTTTTTTTTGTTTTTTTTTTACCACGATTGCTCTACAAAATTGCATCTTAAAAGTTTATTATATTATACAGAAAAGGATGTATCACAATGACAAAAGAATTGACCTATAGGAAAAAACAATTTCCCGGAAAGAGACATTTAAAAAATTATCTTTATTTGTTCTTTTTCTCCATATATGTGTCTATTTTTTTTTCAAATTTGCATTATATACCTAAAATTTATTATTTACAACTTTAAATTAAATCTCAAAAGTGGACAGAAACATCATTTTGTCTGTTAAAGCGTTGATTTCTGCATGAATTTTGGCCTAGAATTCCTACAGGGCAGGCCTGTCCCTAAAACAATGTGATATTTTGATAGGTAAAGATGTTAGAAATAATTTTTGTTAAGATGTTTTGGGATACCCCTGCCCTTGACATTCACAAAAACCTACAAAAATACAAAAACCTAATTTTGATAAGCTGATTCAAATTTATGCCTTTACATCTTATAGTCAGACTAGATCTGTTGATAAAAAGTGTTATCTTTTACACCATATAAGCTTTCTTTTTGAAGTCGGGGGTTCGAATCCACCTGATGCCACATTACATAATTAATTTAAGTTATCCTTCCTGGTAGAGTATTGGAGTATCCTTAAATAAAAAATGTTTATGAAAACATCTTTTATAATACCCATTGTGTATTTACGTGCTTTATTTTCATTTTTCACAGCTTCATGTCCAGTGTTTACCACAACAATAACAACACCACCCATCCCTATTGTTCAGCCTGACCCTATATCTACTTGTGAGAACTGCTCTCGCTATAACGTATGGGATATAGAAAAATGTAATTATTACATATTTTATCAAATTACTATTTGTCAAATATAAAATTCATACAGATATAAAAGAAAAATCTAATTTGATGGACTGCTAAAATTTGCAATTTTTTTCCAATAATTTTGTGTTCTGGAATTGTGTAACACAAACAAACAGTATCAAAATGAAACAAGATGCTTAAAATATTTTGCAATCCAATAGAATTTTGAATGTAGTTTAAATGATGGCACATCATGTAGTCTCACAACAAACAACAATTTAATGATGACAATTATATAGTGCTTTCTTTAAGGAATAACTGTCTTATTTTTCGTATTCATGAAATAATCAATCGATTGACTTGCATGATAATTTGCATAAACGCCAATGGCGTTTATGCATAAAATTATCACGCAAGCCGATCGATTGATCATCTTCATGAAATCGAAAAATCTGACAGTTATTCCTTATATTTACATGCTTTGATTCCGCCAATCCACGTGCTCCAAGCCCTACTTCTGTCTAGCTGTTTGTTCCGCCCTGCAGGTGTTTTTTTTGGAACCGCGCCAATACATTGACGAGAAATAAATTACATTTACAATTGGTAGTTTTATCTCGGACAAAGACATTGGAAATTTAAATGTAATAAGATAGACTTCCAAGGGATTTCCAGGTTCCAGGATTTGAAGGTGACATTACTGACATAGATGCAGCATTTAATTTTATTCATGATTTAACTTATTGTGGAGGCATATTAGGATGACCGGCAACTTATTTTCACTAGTATAGTTAAATTCATATTCTGATCACAAATTCAGAATGAACGGTATGAACATTCCTCGTGCGTGAAAATTAACATGCTGCGACAACAACACGTGTGATAAAATATTAGTTCCTGTGTTTTTAGGAAATTCATGGTCAAATAGAAATCCAGGCTTAACACATAAATTTTCCACATGTATTTTCCAGGGTTTTTAAAAATAATCATCATCATTATCAAAATTGTTTGGTTGTTATGTATTTAAATCTCGTGTATTCGCATTGTTTTGCTTGCTAATAAATTGTGAAGTGCATTTAAAAATCAAATTTATACAAACATCTGTAGTCTTTTTCACAAAGATTCTTATGACTAAGATAAGAATTTGACGGTTCTCATATTTCTTTGGTTAATAAAGAAAATTATTATTTCAGACGAATAATTCACAGTTTACAGTAATGTAATAGACAATATGAGATTTTTTTTGTAACCTACTACAATTTAGGTACAAATAGAAGAATTGGGAAAAAATAATCTTAGTCGTAAGATTTTTTTATGAAAAGGGTTACTGGACTTTACGATCTGTAAGACACTGTAAACAATTTACAAGTATCATTTTTCTATATATTTTAATAACAAAAAGCTCAAAGTGTAAAAGCTAAAAGAAAGTGTTTTCCATTTTGCGTATTGAAATCTGATTCAGAGAATTCGAAATTAACAAATGTTTGAGATTAAGGGACATATCCTATAGCTTGCGACTAACAAAGAAAGAACATTGCAGGTACTCATCCCCCAAGCTTATTTCCACAGTATCGGGTTAATTTTCTTACCGTTATCGAAAAAGTGATCAAATTCTTGTGTTAAGCCTGAATCCTATTGACCATGAATTTCTTAGAAATGCCGGTAATAATATATTAATTCTCATGCACGAGGATGTTTATACTTTCCATTCTGACTTTGTGATCAGAGTATGAATTTCACAATACTGGTGAAATAAGTTATTGGTCATCCTAATATGTCTCTGCAATAAATTAAATGATGAACGAAATTAAATTATGTATCAATGTCACCTTTTAAATCTTGCATATTCCAAAGTCGTACTCATACTGTAAATGTGACTACGTTCAACAAATGACGTTGTAGATATAAATAACGCCGTAAACGCAACATTTAAGCAGTGTAAATGAAACTTTTGAAATCATTTAGGAAAAAGTCTAGCGTATTTATTTTTCTTATATATTAATAGTTTTGATTTTATCTCCTCTTGACATTTTGAAATTCCTGACTAATTCGTCTGCGTCTTTAAAAAGTTATCCAACTTTTTTAAAGAAAACTAATTTCACAAGATTGGCTTAAAACGTCATTTTTCCATACATTACAAATGCAAAGCCTAAAAAATACTAACAACAATACCACGTTTACAGTAATCTAGCATTAAAACGACGTAGGTTAATTTAATAAAAAATTGCAGATAATACGCTGTGAATTTTAAGGAACATTGTATCAAATTTTCAGGATATGTTTTTTGTTAACAATTTTTATGCAGTAAACCCGCGATCTACCTTCAACATTTGGAATGAGGGTTTTCATATTTCACCGTGTAATTCATGTAAAAAAAAAATTCTTTGGGAACACTGTATATGTCCCATTATTTTAGCTCACATGAGCTGAATGCTCAAGTGCTCTTTTCTAATAACTTTTTGTCCGGTGTCTCTCTGTCTGTATGTAAATTTTTCATAATTTTTATTTCAGAAATCAGAATGCATTAGTATTTTATTTAAAAAAAAAATGGGCATTCATTATCTTTTCTAGAATAATTGAATCAACTGAAATGAATCTCGCGTAAAAAGGCACTTATGGGTATAATCGGGTGTCTTCTTTAGAGAAAGGGGGAATTCGAACTATAATGAAAGTTTTTGTTGTATTTCCACCTCAATACCCTCTAGTATAGGAGATAAAGTAATTCATCAATTTTAATTTTATGATATTCCTTTATCTCTTAATTCTTATGGACAATGCTGAGTAAAAAGAACTAATATTGTTAATTTTGATTTAAACTCCTGTGGGCTTAAAAGGTTGAACCAATGCTATCATAATTAATTCAGATTTTTAAAAAATCTTTTTTAGTAGAAGACAGTTAAAATAGTATGTGACATTAAAACAATTAATTGGCCTCCACCCCCTATCTGATTTTTTGCGTCAAGGATTTATGATACAGAGTGGAGCTAGTTTGATCTTACATTGCAAAGTGTATTTTCTTACAAAAAATTTAAAGAGTTATTACATGAGACACATCATCAATTTTCGTGTAGGTTTATGTTGGTATGGTAAATAAAAAATCATGATTTTGAGGTGAACATCAAGGCCCAGTGCCCACTTTGTATACTTAACATTCACTGCTCATTTTTCTATGATCTCTTAATCTTGCTAAAAATTTTAGATCCAGAATGTCTCAGATTAGAAAATGATACACCTACTCCTCATACCTCTGATACACCTACTACTCATACCTCTGACATACCTACTACTCATACCTCTGATGTTACCCGAAGTTCTGCTGGCAGAAAGGAACAACAAGAAAATGGGTAAGAGCCAACAAAGTATCATAGTCATATCTTTATACTTTTGAGCTTTACCTTTTGGGATCTGTTAGGTTCTCCGCAATTCTTTAACATTTATTTTGATATATACTAGTATTATACTAATTACATGCACGAACATTCACTGAAATATTTTTTTCCTTATTATATCACAAGAGTCACTCAAGTGACCTATTGCTACATATTTTGAATTCAGAATTTTCAGCTTCTTCTCTTCAACCATGGAATCAATTTCAAATAAATTTTTCATATAGCATCAGTGGGTGAAAATATACGATAAATGTGAATTTAATAGTCCCTGCCCACAGGGGCCAGTTGTGTGGGACTTAAACCATCAAAATTTGTCCTATCTTTAAAAATCTTCTTTCCTTCTGGACATCAAGCAGTCTAACTCTTAGCATGATTGTAAAAAGCATTGAGCCCTCTACCGAAATTTTATATTCAGGGCGTAAGGGTCAGGGGTTCTGGTCCTAGGGCAGGGCTCTTTTTATTGTACATATATATTTAACATGCATAATTCTTTTTTAAAAATCTTTTCTGCTCTTGGGAATTAATACAATGAAGTATTCACAAAGTTATGATGAGAAAGGGTGCTTCTTTCAAAATTGTGATTTTCGTTACCCCCAGGTTAGGGATTCTAGAGTTAGGGCAGGGCTCTAATGATAACATAGTGAAAAAACATTTATTAGGTCTTTCCATCTTTCTATGGAGAATTTTGCTTCTTAATTTATTTCCTTGCTTTTTTCTACTATTTTTTCAGCCCAAACGACATTGAAACGCTTAAAAAGATGGAAAGGCCTCTAATTGTTCACTGAGCAATTAGTCTACTAGTTCTTTGAAAGTCTTCTTCTCCGATCTTGGGTACATAGCCAATAACATGTTTAAAGTTATGATAAAGAAGGATGCTTCTTTCAATTTTTGAATTTGATGGCCCCTGATTCAGGGTTTTTAGTGTTAGAGTTTGGGTTTTTAAAATGATTATATAGTGAAAATGCATTAATTCTTGGAAATATTCTCCTCTACTCCTAGGTTTAAGCCGATAAACTATGTACATAGTTGTGAATATGAAGGATGTCTTTTCCAAAATTATGAATATCATGGGCCCTGGGTTAGGGGTTTTAGTTGCTATTGCAGTGCTCTAATGATTAAATAGTGAATATGTATTAATTCTTTGAAAATCGTCTACTCTGCCCCTGGTTTTATGCTGATGATCAAGGACTTTACTTTCCATTTGAGGCTTTAAAAAATAGTGCTTTCATTTTTTCTTTAAATATTTATATACAAAATACCTTTTTTCTGTTCCTCGGCACTTCCTCTGAGTATTAAGTAACCAAAATAAGCATGTGGAGTGTATAGTGAAGATGAGCAATGATGTCTCTTTCAACATTTTGAATTTCATGGCCCTGGTTTTAACACGAACCAAATTCAACTGTTGCATAATACCTGTACTCTGGTGACCATAAGGCCGATGAGCCTCTTGTTTTCTTATGTCCCTAGAATTATATTATTATTATGCCCCCTTTACACCTTGAATAATAATAATAAATCCACAATTTAAAGATTTTATAGGAAAAAAGAGTACCAAAGGAAAATTGGAGGGGGACGGCTATTTGTGGAACGTTTGTAATGGTCTTCTTTACAATTAGACATAGATTTTGCTTTGCTATTCCTGATCTAAAACACACTGGTATATTAAGGTCTTTATTCATGCTGTACTCGGAAATAGTCAATATATATTGCAAAGGGTGGTAAAAGTATCCCATCTTCAACATTTTACAAATTAATGAAATCACACTTGCCACAAATCATATCAGTTATTCCATCCTCTTATATTTTTATATTACTTAATTTTTTTATTACTTTGCTTGATTTCATTTCATCTGAATTTGTAATCTCACTAATTTCATTTTTTTTGTGTGTGTGTTTTTTTGGACTAAATAGTCAGAGCCAAGATTTGTGTTCTCCTTGAAATGAGAAAAAAAAATGACAAGATAATATTTTTGTAGATTAATTCACCACGAAATCAGATGCCCATAAACCGACCTTTTGTCCTAACACTTGACAATTTGACCCTCTGAAGATTAAATCAATTAACAATAAAAGAAAAAAAACTCAGTAATAAGCTACAGTCTTGATAGTGCTCTTTAAAGGTCTGAAATTTGTAAAATGCTTGTTTCAAGGAAAAATTGGGTGCCATAATCTTGCAATTGGACATCATATGTCTACTCCTTGGAAACAGGGTAATATGAAAACTCAATAATTTGCCAGGTGTACATTATTTTTTTATAAAACAGTTAATTCAGCTTGCTCATCAAATGTCATAATTTTGTAATAATAATCGAGATATAATACCCTAAATCTGGAATTTTTTGCGTCAATTTATTTTTGCAAATCTGGGTTTAAAAGATGTTAATTAATTTTTACTTCTCAAAATTTAGCGATCTGTCATTGTTGCTAAAATTAAAAAAAGCGCTTAAAATTTTTTTTAACATTTTATATGGTACGCATGTTACTGTACATGCAATGAATAACGCAGTTACATACTATATTAAACAATGGAAACGGTCAATTTTGGGATAAAAAATATTAGAAGAAACAAAACATGTAAGCTATTTAAAGTTTTGAATGTAGTAAAGACACTTTCCATAAACAGATTATCATAGGTAATTATCTTGTAGTATACGAGGGTTGTCCAAAAAGTTCGTGGACATTGACGTTTTTGTTAAAATAAATGGTTCTATATGCATCTATT